TAATACAAGCAAAATCTCAATTTTAAATTATTCTCGCAGCAGTTGTTGTGCTCACAGATCCAGAACAAAGAGAAGATTTAAGAAGGAAAAAAGTGTGTCAGTGACGTTGTGAGGTGTGGCAGGTGGGTACATTTTTTATCAGAGGTTAGATGGGATCTGTATTTTAAGAATCTTCTTGGACCAAATTCTGCGATTTGATAGGAGTCTGACTGTACTCATACAAATAGTGCCATTGAAAAGTATATAGAAGTCAGTTAGATTTGTCTTAGGAAAAGGTGTTACATTGTGAAGCTGTTCATTGGAATAGCAATGTGCTAAACCAGCAGCAACAAAAAAAAACTCAAATCTTGATGTATAATGCACCAATGTGACAGTGCAAGCCTTGTCTAGCACTATTAATTGGGAAAGCTTAATCAAAGGCTGCTTTTTGAGTAGGAAGAGACATGTCTGTCTTAAGAATGCTGGTCCTGGACAGTATTGGAAGCAGCTGTATCTGAAGATATAACAAAATAGCTTCTGATAGCAGAATTATTAACAGTACTGATGTGGTTTTAGTGCCTAGAGCCACCAGTCAGCTGTGAAGTCTCCCTGTGGTAGGTCCCTTCCAGCCTGGGCATGTGCTTAGATGTAAGTGAGGAAAACCACAGAGAAAGTGATTTTGCAGGGAAGCATAAAGAAATGGTTGTGAGCAGCTTCATGAGAACCAGCAGCAGCCTAACAGCTGTTGGATGAGTCAGGAAAGTTGGGGAGGAAGCTGTATACAGGTTCCAAGTGCAAATAAGATAAATGTCTATGATGTGTGAGTTTATACATTTTTGGTTTTTTCATGGTTAATACCAGATAGAGTGTTGACAAAGGGCAGTGCAGAAGAAATGCAGAATGGCAGAATACGTCTTTCACAGAAACGCGGTGAACTAACTTTGACTTCAGGCAGTGGAAAGACAGAACCATCTTATTTGACTAAATGCACTTTATTCTGTCTTTTTTTGCTCTAATTTTCTTTCATCGTGTGCTGTGAATTCCTGGTTGGAGTGTCTGTTCTCAGCATAAAACTGTTTGTCAAATTTCTATTAAGCTTAAGGTGAAAAATTAATGAGCCATTCACTTCAGATATTTCAAAACTAATACTGCTCTGTTATTAATGCAGCAGAAAGTCAAAGATGTGGGTATTGTGGTTCAGTGTTCACTCAGGCTACTTTTTTCTGTATTTTGGTGGGGACATCATTAAAACAGCGTTTCAGGTCATAGAAAGAATTATTTTAATGAATTTTATCTGTAAACTTTTTAGACAGTTTTATTTATTAACTTTTTGTTTTATCAGATCCTAGCAGAGACTGACTTTAATAAAAAGATAATGATGAAATACAGTATTCTGTCTTTGAATCTGGAATTTAAATAAAAACGAACAGGAATTTGATTCTTGTAGCACAAACATTTTAGAGAAAAATAAACAGAAGTGTAATGCTGAACAAGCTGTGGGTAAAGCAACATTCCTTTGACTGGAGAAGTATGAGATTGTGACCATCTCTCTTCTGTTTCATGTGCTGTGATTTTTCAGCTTTGACAAAAGTTGTTGAAGCAGTGATAAAATTGTGCTTTAACTCAGAATTGAGTGGCATATGGTACACAAGTATTTCTGCTAAATTCTCTCGGTAAAAACTTTTCCGAAATCTCAGAATGTGTTAGTGATACCAGTAAATCAAGTGATAGAACACTATAAAACACTGGGTTACAAGTGTATATCCCAGACGGAGCTATATGGAAACTGATGCTCAAGGCTTGTGCTTGCATTGAAGAAAACACAAAACACAGTCACTGTAGTAGTAGAATTGTAGTCCTCACTTTCTATGCAGAAACTTTCTAAAGATTGCCTCTTTTTGTGCTCCTAAAATTAACTTGATAACTGACGAACATATTTTTCTTCTTGCATTCCATTATGTTCTCTGGAGTCTTTCTTAAATTAATGGCCATTTTAGGCCTGGCATGGTTAGCCTTGCATAGGGGAAGGAATTCAGTTTCTTGGAAGATTTTCCTGCTATAAAACTGAATTTTAATACAAGCAAAATCTCAATTTTAAATTCTTCTCGCAGCAGTTGTTGTGCTCACAGATCCAGAAAGCACTACGTGCTCCAAGGAGTTTGGTACCCAGCAGGGAATGAGCAAGGAAGCATCTCACAAAGTTCTTTTGGTGCATGGGTTTCTGTATGAAGTTGCACCGCACTTTTCTGCAACTGGTACAGCACCAGGCCATGAGTATTTAAAAACTGAATGATTGTACTTTAACTCATAGCCCTGAAAATCTCCAGATTTTTCATTGTGCACTGTGTTTTACGGGGGAGATTGGTCCTCGGTCTTTCACTTTTGAAGCCTGATCATGAGCAAGGTACTCTCGAGGCAACTAATAAATGGCTGGCAGAGGGAAGGAGCTCTTTTTTTTTTTTTAAGGCATTTTTAAATATTAATTACAACACTGCTTTTTTTTTTTTTTTGGTAACTAGTTCAGAAAGTTCAGTTACTAGACAATCATGCAGAGATCAGGCCTGGAAAAGGTGTCAAGAGATCGTCAAATCTAGCACCTTCCCTCAGGGAGGGGATCAGCCATCTCTATGTCATTTCTGACAGATGTTTGTTTAGTCTTGTCTTTAAAAATATTTCAGCTGTTAGAGATTTTACCACCTGCCTAGGCAAGGCTTTATGAATTCCTCCTATTAGAAAGTTTTTCTTCCAGATGACTTAAATCTCCTTTTCCATATTTTAATTTTCTTTTTCTTTTTTTTTTTCATTCTAGTCCCATACTTCAAGCTCTATCTTATATTGTGAAATGATTCATTTTTAAACTTGGGAGGTTTTCTCCTGTGAGTTGTTCTCAAAAGTTTGTCTTTCACAGTTTATTCGGGTGTGAAGCTCAAGTTGTGGGTAAATGGAGACAGGAGAGATGCTTTTCACCTGCAACATTTGAGCTTCATTGCTCCTGTAATAGAGGCTGCAGATTGACAAACAAGAGACAGAAAATAATGTGTCAGTTACACATCTCTGGTGGACATTTTTGGATTCTTTATGATTGCAGAAACAGACTCTCAAAGCTTGAGCAAACTGATTTTTCCGTCAATTTACTGAAGTAACAACTTTGAGGGACTTTTTCAACCCCTCTCAACTCAATTAGACAAAACTTTTTCTAAATTACCATGTTTTGAGACAGTTTCACCTTTCTGCTGAAAAATTTTTTTGATTCTTTCAAAGTGAACACTGATGACATTTTCACTGTGTAGTAAAGCTGAACAACACTTTTTTTTCCCCCCATAATTAAAAGTTGTAGCCTTGGTTGATTTTTGCATTATGATTAAGGGCATACTGGCAGAAGTCTCAGGAGGTTCTACGACAAAAATTACAAAAAAAGGAGGATGGTTCTAGATTTTTTTTTTTATATTGTGGGTCAGTAACGATGCTCCTGTTAGTCATTTTATAGAAATTTATTAGAACATGCTGCAGATTTCTGATGGATTCTTCCCTTTGTGTTTGTAGTCTCACATAATGTAAAGGTTGCCTTCTGCTTATAAAGAATTCCACGTCAACAGAAAATGTGGTATCGTTTCATAGAGGTCTTGGAGAGAGGCCTTGGATTCTGAATCTCTAGTTGGAAGTTTGGAAATTATTCCATATGGGCAGATTTTTAGAGTTTTTCAGGTTATTCCAGAGCTGGTTTCTGCCCTGTGCTATGAAACTTCTCCCCTTTTCTATGGTGAGCTTTTCGCTGCAAGAATATTCTTGCTTTCCATGGGAAGAGCTTTTATTAGGCCAGCTGAAATAGTTGAGAAAAACAGATGAGCATCTTGTCCTGAAGTGCTTCAGAGCATTTCTATGTGCAGAGTTTGCTTTTTTTTTTTTTCCAGTTCTGTCAGTTGGTCTCCCAAAATATCTCATCTCATCAGAAATCTTCCCATAGCTAAATGTTGGACAGTCTGAAAACACACTTTTTTCAGTAAAAGGGCAATTTTAAAATATGCATGAATCTGCTGATATTTTGAGGTTTGTGCTGTGGCTTCTTAAGATCTTAAAGCTGTAAATGAAGTATTCTGATGCCTTCTGATTTGTACCTTCTTCTACTTGACATGGCTGTTCAGTAGGCTCTTCCTCCAGACCTCCTTCAACCTTCCACTACAGGTACCCTCGCATTTATAAAATAAATGTTAGTCACCTGAGCTGCATTGAACACAGTTGGAGTCAATGAGATTATCAGATTTGTGTTCTTTAAAAGAGGAAGGTGTATAAAATTTTTAGGCTTTTCAGAATATGCAAGAAGCACGTCTCATCAAGTTGGCAGTTTGTCACCAACGTGTAACCTCTGTGGTGTGTTTCTTCTCGAAGTCCTCACAAGAGCTCGTTTGTGTGACAGCTTGTCCCTTAAACAGTTTTAGTGTGAAATAGAACAACTTCTGTAGAAGTTAAAAATTTTGGCATCCCTAGGAAACCAAACAGCCTTATGAGTGGTAGCATCGGTCAGTGCGGAGAGGTCTTTACACATGATTTTAAGCTCCTTAAATGTCTACTTTTCCCTGTAAAGATGTGTTCAGTTCTTACTTGAATTTGAAAGTTATTGCTGATGAGTAATTCTATTTTTCACTGATTCCTGTAACTGCTCTTACTTGAATTTAAGTTATTGCTGATGAATAATTCTATTTTTCACTGATTCCTGTAACTAGAGAACAATTTGATTTGTTGTGTTTAAGTCACGTACAATCTAATACCTGCTTGGGCTCTTTGATAGTTACTTTCTTGTGGAACTGTTCAGCATATACTATAATATGTACAAGTATTTTTGTGGCATATTTCTGTGGAATATTCTTTTTCTTCCCGGTCCGGTAACTATAAAATAACAAGTGCTTATCTAAATCAGGTTTTTTAAGCTATATTGTAGATATTTGCTTATTTTGTTTTGTTCATGCAGAAGGGAAATCTTCTAATTTTCATTTACTAAATTGCTGTTCTCTTTTTCATTTAAGATGGAAGCTACAGGCAAAATCGACTGAACCTCACAACGCTGTTAGTACAACCAATTTCTGCACTGCTTGCCAAAAAACTTGTTTCCTTACCTGAGAACACTGTCCAAAAAGATAGGTGTGTACCCCTCCAAATGCCAGCTAAAGGTAATACTTTTTAAATAATATTTTCATCTCACTATGAAATGTTCTTCAAGGACTCCAGGTCCATTTTCTATAACTGTATATAACTAAGAGGTTTAACTGACGATTAGTATGTTTTGCTTAGCAGCTTTCTGGAAGAGACTATGAACAATCTAAAAATCATACCTCTAAAATCTGATAGAAGGAAGGTTTGGGTTTTTTAAAAAAAAGGTGTCTTAGTGTAAGGCATTAAACTCTAATTCTTAATATTGGCTTAAAAACCCCTCCATCTAGATACCATCACCAGGGAGGTTTTGTTAGTGCTGCAGTGTGGTTTGTTAGTGCTTGTTCTACTAAGAATATGATTTTAACACTAAGGCACCATTAGCAATATTAAAGTTATTCTGTGTCTCTTTTCTGCCTCTGGAATAATAATACTATAATTCTAACCAGTGATACATCTTTCTGTGTTCCTAATTTATATCTGCTTCAGATTAAACAACTTGGTGTTGTCTGAACCTTCAGGCACCTTCAAACCTCCCTGTTTCACGGAGGAAGACGGTCATTGTGATAAGAACAAAATACCTTGAGTAGAGTTAGATGTAATGAAGGAAATGTGTTCAGAGTATCTCTTCAGAGATAATGCCGGTAGCAAAGTCATACAGAGTATAGTGAGAACAAACTTATTGCTGATGAGTAAAAAAAAGAAAGACCAGAGTCTTCTAGCAAAGATACTGCAGTGTTTTAATGAAGGAACTAACACCTTCCAGATAGTGTTCCAGATGAGATACATGTTTAAACTTCTATTTTGTCCTGATTTTTGTTTTGTACTGGTCTGTCTTTCACCAGAAAAAAAGGTGTGTTTTAATTACAATGCCTATTTAAATGAATTGATTTGAAGCAGTGGTCTTGGAAGGGGGAGGCAGTCTCTCAGTGATGAGAACAGTAATAAGCAAATTTGAGGGGCAGCCATTGTACTATCACATATGTGCTGTATCAATTGTTTATTGCTTTTGGAAAGTTACTGTGGAATAGGAATACAATACAACAACTCGTAAAAAGGGTTGATTAATTTTATGACTGGTGTTAGCATTTGTAGATGTACATACTAAAAAGAAAGGCAGAAAGGCCTCGTGCTTCATGGCTTAAGCTGTTTTGGTTAGGCAGGACTATTGCTCTTCATCAGGGGCTGATATTTTAAAGATGAACTGATCTTCCTCACAACCAGTAGACAAAAACTATATGAACAGGAAAAGGTCATTTTGGAAGGAACGAGTGATTCACCATTCCAGGTAGGATGCATGAAGCTTGCTAGAATTGTAGGAATTTTCAACAGCTGAAGCGCCTAAAGGGAAGCATGAATTTGAGCTGGAAATGACATTCATTTTAGCAAGATAAAAGGCTGCACTGTGCTTGTTTCTCAGAAAGCTTTGTGTGGAGGCTGCAGGACAAAATCACCTAAAGAGCAGCTTATTCTGCTTTTTTCTGTGACAGGTGTGGTGTGTCGCTTTTATTTCCCTGAGAAGGCAGGAATTTCCTGGTGGGAAATTTCTGGAAAGAAGGAATATTCCAAGCTAGTAGTCTAGTAAGATCCAATCCCTGTCCAGCTTACTCTGGGTAAAAACAACAGCTTGTGTTTGATTTCATGTAAAGCTTCTGAACCACAGTAATCCATGTGGGATTTTTTAAAAAAAAAAATCTTAATTTATTGAGCAAGTAGGGTTATAGTAAGAAGCCTTGCGTAATTCTATAATGCATTATGATACATTTTGCCTTGAAATAATGGGGAAAATAGATGTGCAGGAGCATAGGGTGTGCTGAAGTGTTCAGTAGCAACCTTAATGGAAGAGATAAAAAAACTGGCCTCATGATAAGAAATCTTGTATAACTATTTAATAATAGCTAAAGAAAAAATGCTGAACAGAGCAGTACATCTGAGAAGAGTGAAGGCTGAGTTTGCCTTCCTGTTGATTTGAAGAAGCTTAAGAGAGATTTCACTTCTGACGTAGAACTCATCACTTATCTGTCAAAAGAGGCGAATGAGCAATTCAGATGATTGGTTGGCTTAAAATTTGTTAGAATAAAATGATCATCATTCTCTCATCAGTATGTTTCAAAAAGCTGAACAGCAAATTCATCAGTAATGATTAAACATTTATATATAGTTTTCTCACATTGCCTCTTTTTTCCCTTAGCCTTGCAGTTTTCAAGAGACATAATGTGACAGGGGATGGGAGGTTACAGAGAGAAATATCTGAGATATATCCCATAGTGAGAATCGAACTCAGTTATTAGTTTTGTGTTAGTTGAAGGTTAGCACTTAGATTTGCTTTTTGGTTAGTATTATACATTGTTGTTAATCCTCATTAATCTGAAATTCTGTGCTCCCATGAACTTTTTCCAAAAAATGGGCAATTAAGTGGAATTTAAGAGTGAAGTTTTATAGAGAAGCTGTACGCTTCTGAAGCTTTCTGTAAAAAACATAGTATTAGTAGGGTATGTGCTAGGACATAGTGAAGATGGCCAGAAAACTAAAGCACTCCTATAAACATAAATGAAGAAAGTCCTCTTGTGTTGCAGTAAACTTCCTTTGTTGTTTGTTATCTGCCAGTTGGTAGATTTCATTCAGGTGCAGATCATCCCATTTCAATGAATCTCTTGAGTATTTAAAGTAATTCCATCTAGTGGAATTTAATTTACAAAGTGTTTTTCAACATTAATGACCTTATACATTGGTGTTAAATAGAAGTCTGGTGGCCTGGAAGTCTCGAAGTTGGTCTCAAAGTAATTTTTCTCGTTAGCTTTAAGTGTGAATTTTCATACTGATACTCTCTCATCTGAGAAGACAGAAGATGAGGAAGATCTAGCATTTCCCTGGTGATCAATTTCTGTCTGTGGCAGAAGGGTAGACCTAAGGATTTCAAGACCTATGAATATCTGTTTAAAAAGGAGAATATATTTTTAGTAGGCTACATAGTTGGTTAATCAGGTAAAAATCTAATAGGGAAAAAATTCAGGATATTAGATTTCAAGGAGACTGAATTTAGATGGTAGGTTGCATATATAAGAAACAGTAAAAACTTTTTGTTATAGTTTTGACATACGGTCATGGAGTTTTGACATACTCCTGCACAAATAATTTTATAATTCAACAGTAATGTACGTTGCCATAGATTCAGTATTGATTTTTGTGTTTGCAATTTCATAGTGTTGCACAAGATTTTTTTTCAGCAGTAATATATAAATTATTAACTATACTATTTTTTAAGTTTATTTGCTTTTGTAAGCATGTAAGTTATGATGCATGTAGTATTTTTTGCTATGTAAGTTATATTGTTACATAAATGCTTGTGTTGTTTACATTTCTTTCTTTAAAGTCCTCTAAATTTAACTGAAAACTGATGTAGATAAGGTTTTGCACTCAAGTTGACATGACGAAATGCTGAGAACTAACTAAAAGACATTTTTTACAGGCTAGCAAGATTTCAAAATCCCATTTATTAGGCAGTCTAACATGGTAGTAATAATCTGGGATTTTACTCAGTTCCAGAAAATGTCAAATGAAAATGAAGCATTTGTTTCAAATGACAGCAAAATCTGCTGTTCCATATGTTTTAATGAATACTTATCGCATTGGTGTATTTAACAGGGAATTCTAAATATTATGCACCAGTCCATATTATTCTGTACAGTATCACCAATAGACTATAAGAAATGCATTATATATTTGATTATTTGTTTTATGTAAATAGCTTATGGTGTTCCTACATTGAGTGCCATTAGTTATAATGCTGTATCACGTTATTTGATACTATTTTAAAGCCTCAGATCTTGGTCCAAATAACTTTATGAAAACTGTAGCTTTCCTTATCGAAAAAATTACTAGCCTTCAAGGGTGTATGAAAAGTTTGGCACTTGTGCTCAAAAAGTTAGCAGTTGAGTTATTAGAGCCTAATATAAGGGTTTTGAATGATGGGAACAAGAACTCTGTTGAATATCATTTTATCTTGACTACCTGCACTGAAATGACCCCTAAGCATAGCCATGGATTTTTGATGATGTTTGAAAGCTTTAATTTAATTATGATTTCAAACTGGTGTATTTTTATTCAGGTGTGGTTTATGTGGGTTTCGGCAGGAGTTATAGTCATGTTAAAAATTGGGTTAGTTGAAGTTATTCAATGTACCTTATTTCTGCAGTCTTCTCCAATAACTTATGGTTTTATGATCCAAGAACTATGTTATTGAAATGCATGAATTCAGTTGGTACTTGATGCTAACTGAAAAATGTAGGGAAATTCTTGTATATGAGTAGCAAAAATTGCATCAAATGAGTCAATTTTCAAACCTGTGTCCCTAATGACGCATTTTAAAATCCAATCCTCAACAGAATGCTCAAAAAACTGCCCGATTATAGGTGTTTAGTATGATCAGGATTCAAGAATTTAACCAACATGCTTGAAAATCAGGCTTAAACTTGTACTCTTCTATGTTGATAGGAGCTTGGGATAAGGTTAAAATCACTAAAAGAAATAAGACTTAAATAATTTTTCAGGCTACAAGTAGTAGTATTTGTACATCTGATGTTCTAAAATTGTCAATCAGATGAGTAGGAAATAACCATGCATTTCTAAAAATAATTATGTAATCATGAGAGGAGAAGATAGTCATTTGGTATGAGACAATTTACAGATTTCAAGTCAAGAAATAAATAGATAAAAAATATTGACAACAGATACTTTTCTTCTATTTCAGAAGTAGCTTTTGGGTCATGCAAACTAAAAATATATCCCACATAATGTTAAGCTAAATTCACCTCCTAGTTTTCCAGAGAACACAGAAAAAAAGAAAGTTGTCAGGATCTTTAAAATACAGCATTAGGAAGAGAGTTTTGTTGTCAGAACTGTTTAAAGGGGATTAAATTCCACTTCTGCTGTACACTCCAAAGAGTATTTTCAGCCTTTTCATCTGGTGCACTAAGCCTTTAAACCCAAGTCACTTTAAGCTGACTACTGTGTTACATGGCTGTTCACTCCAATATCTGATTCTAGAATATGGGTATTGCCAGAAGTTAATTTTCTTTTTTTTTTTATTGTCTGTTGAAGACTGGGTAGCTGATGTTGATTAAGGAAAAAGTTAAGTCAGTTCTCTTCACAAGAATTTCTTTTCTTCTTGTCTGAAATGGGGCCTAAATAAACATATATCTAAAGTGTTATAAGTGTTAGAAAAGGGCAGGAAATCAGTTTTGGCTTGAAAATCTTTTTTAAGCAGAGTAAATTGGTTCCAGAATGGCTGTAGGTGAGAAACTGCAGTAAGAAGTAACTTGCTTAGATTAATTTTAAACTGCTTAATCAACGTGCATGCCATGAGCTGTTTTCACATTGTTTTAAAAGACCAAAAAAGAAGAACAAGGTTGACATTACAGTGCTGGGAACCCTTTGGAATAGTCTTTTGTTTAATAAAATATTCTTTTAAAAATTATAGAATAATATCTGTAGATTTATAGAACACAATTCATCATCACAGGGTGTTAATAAACCTGATGGTAACTTACATCAGAAGGGCAAAGTTAATTACAACTCAAACCCCAACATATGCCTGATAGATCAAAATATTAAGTTGCTGTGATTGATTATAGCGAAATAGCGTGGTACGTTTTATTTTTAATTAACTGTGCTTGTATTTTCTTTACTGCTGCGTTCTAGCAAAACCAGGGTTGTCACAAAGAGGACACATCTATTGATAACAGGAGAATTTGTCAGATTAAACAGTAGAATAAATATTGCTCGTACCTTTTTTTAAAAGTGAAGAAAGTTCCTAGCCATTGGTTTGCTTTTTTTCAAATAGCAATGAAGACTAGTGAATGAAAATACATTGGATTTTGTTTTAAGGGAATTTTAAAGTAAATTTACCAGATGAAGTACCAGCAAATGAACCTTGAAGAACAGTGTTGTAGAGATGTGTTGTTTTTATTTTGCATGTTGCAGTAAACTCCCCACTTGCTTATTCCACACATCTCAGGAAACAGAGCCAGGAAACAAACTGTTAGAAATGCATCTGTGGGAGGATAATAGGCTGGGGGAGAGAGAGCAGAATGATCCCTGCAATATTTTAATTTTGGTCTGTGACAGTTGGGATATGGACGCTGAAGGAATTGTGGCTCAAAGAAGCCTTTAAACGCAGGTCTGCGGTGGGCTGGGGCAGTGTCTGGGTGTGAGGAACCCCCTGAAGGTGTGGGGTGATACGGTCGTTATGGTCAGACAACCACTAGCATTTAAGCCAGAGCAGTTGAAGATATTTTCACTTTTCTCAGATAGAAGTTATGACCTTTCAGATGAGATGAATGTTAATCCACTCTATTATAATGCAAACGAAACATTTGAAAAGTATCAGCAGCTCCCTATACTTAGTTGTTTTGTTTCCACTGCCACAAACTGCAGGAGTTAGAATAGTTCTAATGTGTGTCCCACCTGGGGACAGAGGGAGTGACAGTAGTTCTCAACAAAGGACAGTTAATGTTTTTTTAAGCTCTTTTAACTCAGATGTTTACTTTTCTCTGGCTTTATCCCAGGCTACAGTCTCAGCTGGCACAGCGATACTGGCAAGTCCCTTCTATATTGGCAGGTTGTGGAATTGTTCTGCCTTTGTGTTTACACCATTTCCTCAGTTGATACCAGCAAAGCCAGCAAAAGCTGTCTTCTCTTGGCATAAGTTCACAAGTCTATCACCAAAGGCTACGCTGGCAAAGGCATTAGTAATGCAGAGCTCTAACTTTGCCCGTCTGATTTAGCACAGGGCATTTTCTCCGGAATAGTGTAATACAAACCAGGTATAATTTTGTGAATGTTATTGAAAGATTGACCTCAGCAAAGGATTAGGTGAGAAAAAGCTATAAAGAATGAGACCAATTTCCTTATCATTGAATTATGTAAATCCTACTCTTCTTAAATTCTTTTTCTTTAGTATTCTGGCAGCATTTATTGGGTGAATTGAATAAATCATGGGGTAGAGATCTCTTTTGAGATTCTAGCTTTGAACCCTATTGTTAAAGTGGGAGTAAGAAAATAGTTTAATATTTTGTGTGTTAATCTCTGGTTCCTTTTCAAGTATATTTATTTTTTCTTTGTTTTTACTGGGTTTTTTTATGTATGTGTGATTTATATCTACGGCCCATAGACTCCTTGGATGGATAAACAAATTTTCTTTCCTTTTTAATTTTTTTCTTCTTTTTAACAGGCAAAAAAATAATCAGCCTCAATATTCAGTCAGTCACAACTTACAAGACAATTTCTAATGTTATTGGATATTTAAAGGGATCTGTATTTCCTGGTAAGTAGCCCTTTATCGTTCGTATCGATTATTTGTTTCGTGATGGCTGGGAGTCATCGCTGGGATCGGGGTTCTGTTTTGCCAGATAATGCAGTAGTCCAGAGGAAGGAGAGCACCTTTGTTGCAGTCATTTTGTGGTTTGATTTATGACAGAACATAAGGGTTAAACAGAGAATGAGCTCAGGGGGATTTTATAGTTACAATAAACATATTTTTCCATAACAAGCAGGAATTACACATAGACCGTAGAGAATATTAGTATTTTATGCCAAGTAACTATATTGGTGGTTTTAATTTTAGGGTGTACTGTATTACATGATTTTATTTAATATGCAGGCTGTCTATACAACTTTAGAAAAGGTTTTGATTCTTTTTTTTCCTAACGTTAGCAGAATTTTGAGATAAAATTTGTGCTTCAAATCCAGAACTTCCCCACGTAATTTGTGTCTCACTGAAACCAAAGTGTAGGGAGTATAATCTCTGGTTTAGTAAAGAATCTAGTCTCAAATGCAATTAAAGTATACAAAAATCCATGACTAAGTTATTAATCACACTTGCTGCAGCCTTATTTTGTTTTATACAAGTTTTATACTAGTTTTATAGAAGTCTATGAATAATAATCACTGTTCTGTATGTTTTAAGAATTGAAGAATAAGACTCTAAATGCAACTGTGCCATAAAACACAAACCCCTTTCTTCCTTTGATGCGGTATGTAGATAATATGCTAATCAGGACAACATAGGAATTAAGATCATTTTGAGCTTATTCCGTCTGCAAGTGAGTGTGCCTAAAAGTTGAAGGGTTTGTGCAACATGAATGAGCACTGTTGCTGGTTACCTACAAAATGCAGAATCCAATTCCTAATGCACAAATGGCATCGTCACCAAAACATCATCACGTTTGTAGCGATTAATACCCTTTTATTTGGTTCAGAAGAAAGGTTGCAAATTTATCTGCAGTCCCTTAGGACATGGGCTAGTTATATTGTATTTTTGTGATGAAATGAAAGCAGTGAAGAAATTTCAGTTTATTTCTATTAGCGAAATAATGACTCAGTTTTGTGTGTGCTGAATGTTGTACTTTTCACCGGAAGAACTTCTTTTTTAAACAACATAGAAAACAATTAGCACAGTGAATTTAATTCCAATAAAGGATTTATTTTCTTTCAATAATCTGAAGTTACTAGTCTGCTATTGCTAACGTTTTGCAAATAGCTGTCATGGAGTTTGAAAGGTAGAAACTGCCACGTTTAGACATATTGTCTACTGAATTGTGAAACAGAAGCAAGATAAATAATAAAAAGCATGCATCAGCTTCCGCTTGATAAATTATCTTTTCTATGCCTGAATCTTTCATCTTATTATTGCATTCTTAATAAGAAGTTATGTCAGTATATGCTTAACTTTAAGAATTTAATATAATCAAATGAAGTCAGTAGTGCTACCCAGATGCCAGTGGTTTGTCCTGTAAATGTCTTGCTGAACAAGGGCTGCAGCAACTGACTTCTAATGCAGGCATGAGGTAAGCATATAATGCATCACATTTTGTACAGAATCTACATTAAACCTTCATTTGTTTCTCGACTCTTCCTCGTTGATACTATGGCCATGCCCTCACAACCAATTTCTATACTTGGTGTTTTCATGGAATTTATTCTCTGTCATTTTGATGGGGTTTTCCTAGTTTCAAACACCTGAAATATTCACCTTTATATTCACAGAAATGCAGCAAGCAAGCAAAATTTATCTTTAGTGATTAATAAAAAACCACAGAGCATCACCCAGGGTGGATTATTTTTTGCTTGAAGGCCTCCTAACACACACACAAACACATCTATGTGATGGTGATCTTATTTGACATTTGGTCTCAAGAATAACAATGAGCATCTGAAATACCACTAGGATATTAAAAGTTGCAGGAGCAGAGGAAATATGATAGTTGGTAGCCTTTTAAAACCTGAAAAACATAACGCTGATTTTGTAGCTCTGTTGGACATGGTTGAAAATGGGAAATGTATGACAAGAGAAGACAGTATAAAGTTATTTTTTTAAATGAAAAATCCCTGTTGTCCAGCCCATCACTACGCTGAACCCTATCCCATCTTACCACTTCCTAAAGTTTTTGATGGATTTTTTTTTCTCTATTTCCAGTCCTTTCTTTCTCTTTTTTCTTACCATGTGGTCTCTTTCTCTACATGCTTCAGCAAATGATTATGAGAAAGGACAGCTACTGTCTCTGTAAGCATGACCATCCTTTCTCCTATGCTTCTCCTGTAGCCATTTACTTCAGGGTACTGCCTCTATTTGAGAGGGGGTCATGTGCAAAGATGAAGAATTTCAGAGGAGGCACCAGCTGTTGTTCATTCAGCTGGCAGCTCCTACAGTAAGTTGCTGCTTGTAGCTGTCTTCTCCATCAAAATATCCAATCCAATTTTATGTAAGGTCTCTTTCCAGTCCCCTTCAGATACACTGTTCTAGACTGAGCAGAGATTATAACACAGGGCAAGCACCGGTCCTGTCTGGTCACCCTGTGGTAGTGACACCTAAAAGCCTGTGAGGCCAGTCATTTCTGTTCCTGATTTCTAACGATGAGTCGAAGATCCTACAATTCTTCACTGTCAGTGCAACCTATAATTAAGCATCTCATGATGCAACACGCAAGTTGCAAAATTATATGATTTAGATAGCATTTTGTTACATCAAATTACTAAGTACACTTAAATTTACATTTTGTATATCGGCTTTTAGAAATTAATGTACCTTTACACCCCCCAAGCAGTTGACTGAAAATGTTGTTTTATAGGTACATAACAGATTCCCTGTTTGTAAAACATTTTTGATTCCTTATAAAACAACATTGCCATGGTTTTTGTTGAACAAAACTGGTGAAAGTCCAGTTTGATAGAGAATGGTTTTATAATCAAAGTATGTTGGTGTTCAGTTAAAATTGTTTCTAGGCAGCAGTCACTGCAGAAATTACTGAGGAGTAGATATTTAATTTTATAAGCAGTATAAAACGTGGGCATTTTACCACCTGAGTGTAACTACATTCCAGTGGACTGAAAACAGTGAAGAATGAATCCCCTTGGATAAAGCAGTAGTGCTGTCAGACAGTCAAAACTTTTTGCACTTTTCGGAACCCAGATAACACCAGAGATTGTTATGGATCTGGCATCACTTGATAGTTACTCTTCTATTCTCTGTATATCATGAAATATGGAAAGAACATCTTTAAAAGCCTAGATCTGGACCAGAAAGAGACATTACTAAGTATCAGAACACAACCAGTAAGCAGTCCTTCAAAGATGCTTCAGTTGGAAATTCATTTCACACAGGAAGTCTCCTTTAACATCTGTAAAAGAAAAATATGTGGGTTTTTTACTGGATAGCCAAAGCCATGTTCTTTATTTCAGGTTGAAACTTCTTGCTTTTGAGTTGAATAAAATCCTTTCTTCCGCTATCACCAAAGTTGCTAGGTCTGACTTACCGTTCCTGTATCGTTCATTATCTCTATTCCTCTGTCATGTCTCCTCTCTAAACCTGCAATCCAGGTCTTTTCAGTGTCTCCTTACGAGGAAGTCTAAGTCCTGATCTATAACCCTTCTGGTTACCAGCTTCTCAACTCCTGTTCCTGCAATGTCTTTTTTTGAGGTAGGGTGGGGAGCACTGAACCCAGTCTTCCAGGTGAGGGAGTGCTAAAACGTTGTGTATTTTCTCCATTTCTCATTGTACTACCATACCTTTTGTTTTCTTTTTTTTTTTTTTTTTTTTTTTTTTTTTTTTTTATTAATTTTTAAAAAAAAAAAAAAAAAAAAAAAAAAAAAAAAAGTTCTAGGAAAAATATTAAACCCATCTTAATCCCAATCCATGATTTTGGGCTTTTTTTCGTCCTTTTTTTCTTTTTTTTTTTTTTTTTTTTTTTTTCTTTTCACTAATACATATTGAAGATGGAGTTTCCTGGTTATTCATTTGTGTTTTTTCATAACACTCTAATGTGAGCATGGAACTTTATTAGATTATCTATATGACCAAGTCCTGGATTTAAAAATGGTATATATCAGATTGACAAGAAAGGAGAGCAATAAACAAACAATGAAGGCAAGGGCACAGGGATTAAATTAGGAAAGTATGTGCACATATTTATTTACTAGTTTATTTTGAAGGAGTATTCAGTTTTATCTATTTATATTGTTTGATTGTCTTGCACATGATCATTTTTGTTGACAGCATTGTGTTGCATTAATGACATTACAGCCTACTAATACAGCTCATCTTTTTGGTTTTTTTTAAATTCTTTTAATGCTAGTAGCCAGAAGAAATAAGATTATCTTGTCTGTTTTGTTGTTTTTTTTTTCACCATTTCAGACAGATACATCATTATTGGGAGTCATCACAACAGTTTGAATACTTATGGTGGGCAGGAATGGGCCAGTAGCACTGCCATCATCACAGCATTTATACAGGCCTTGATGCTGAAGGTGAAGAGGGGCTGGAGACCAGACCGGACCATCGTTTTCTGCTCATGGGGAGGAACATCCTTTGGGAACATCGGTTCATATGAATGGGCGGAGGTAAAATCCTTTTAGAAGGACTCATTGCAATAATGAATATTTTTGTTGAACGCATGAAAACAGTATGAAAGTGCCACATAGAAATTATGGTCTGTGACATCTGTCTGTGTACATTCATGTGCTCCATCGCAAACACAGTGAAAATGTCTACAGAGGCTGTTCCTGTGGAGCAGAGCATGTGTGACAATAAGCTGGCAAGTTGTTCCCCTAGCTGTGATGCTGAATATCCAGCACTTTTGTGACCCAATTCATTTCCCTAATTCAGCAGAGGACTGTAAAAGAGGGCATTGCCAGGGTTTGGGGGGTAAGGAGTGGAAACATCAAAACAGACCCGGGCTTTTTCTCCTTCTTGGGGGTTCAATAGTTACTAATTTTTAATTGATAGGCTTAGCACGCAGAGACCTGAATCAAGAGCATACCGAACGAAGAGAACCATACCGTTAATTGTGTGTACATTAATTACATCAGCATTTCAGTGTCTCCATGGCTAGTGCTTATTTGCTTTTCACATCTTTGTGCTAAGGAGTCAGAATCCGACACAGACAATTCCTCGGGCTCATAGTTTCAGCAGAATAAAAATCAGCTTATTGAAAGAAAATGCCTCATCAGAGTATTGTTGGTCATCTATCATTACAGTAGACTTCAGCTGATAAATTAAAGGAATAACTAGCAGAAAGGTTCATGGCTGCTGAATTAAAACAGTAGATAAAATGAAGAGTTAATTGTTTTTTATCATGCATGAGGAGCGGCCAGCTCTCATTGAAGTTTCATACTTCCAGTATGATTATTCTTCAAAAACAAGATGGGGTGAAAAAATCAAATTGAAAAGATCCGGGCTGGAAGCAAAATTTGTTTAGTTCCACTTCAAGTCAGCTTTACATCAGATGTAATTGCGTTACACCCCTTCTGTTCAATATAAAGAGGCACTTCATGCAAAGAGTAACTCATTACTGAGAAGGCAAAGGGGATCTTTTTTAAAAAGAGTTAGTAATTGAAACAGTTCGTACATACTATTTTTGTAGTCTAAAACATAATAAAATGAAAACACTGGGAAAGTTATGGAATTCAAACCTGAATTTGGTCTTCAAAAATTGGAGTACATTTAACTGTTGATAATGATTGCTTTTAAAGTTTGTCTTCTGTCAGGCATAAGCTTAAAAGGCCTTCACGTTGTTTCACAGTATGTAATGTTTTCATTTTGGGCTTACAAGTATAATCATTTTTAATTCCTCCCAGGCCTGTTTGCGTTTTGGTGAGATGATGTGTGAAATGGAATTATAACTTCTGTTATACAGAGAAATAACATTAAGATACCCTTTGAAGTTCATACCAGCGTATTGTAAGAAGTAGTAGTTAAGTAATACTTAGAGATTCACAGAGGACAAAAACGTAGGGTGTATTTTTTTCCCTTGAAGGAACTGAAAGAACAAAATAAGTCTTAATTATAGCGATGCATAGTAATAACCATTGCTCTGCTTGTGTTGTAGGATCTCAAGAGAGTTCTTCAAAGAAATGTTGTGGCTTACGTTAGCCTCCATAATCCAGTCAGAGGCAACTCAACATTACACCCTGTTGCATCCCCTTCTCTTCAGCAACTGGCAGCAGAGGTTAGAAATAAAATACTTTCTTTCATATGAGGTTTATGAGGGTACGTGGTTAACCCCCACGATGCCAGTTGGTTTTAGATAACTGTGAGTGGAGGTTGCTTTGTTTAAGCATTTTAACCTCACAAACACACATGAACTGTTTTTACTTAGAAAGCAGGTTAAATTTTATTATAAAAATTAAAATTTGCAGTAAGAGGTTGGAAAGGATAACTTATTTCCACAGCTCATTGCACCAAGTCTCACCACGCTTGCATGCCCTACAGCTTTTTCACCTTTTGGCAGCTTTAAAGTAGCATATTTTTTATTCTTTAGCACAGAGCACATTTTTCTCTTCCTAATCTGATTTTTCCAGGCTGCTTCTCAATTTGCATTTAAAACTGTATATTTACCAGATGTAACGTGACACACTGGGAGAGTATTACTCTAACTATAATAAATACTGTCTGGACTAAGTATGTCAGGGTCAGTGCTCAGCTACGCCTTGGTAACTCCTCTGGTGCTAGAACATTCTGAAGTTATGCTCGTCTAAGTGCACGGAGGCTTTAAACTAGTGACATTATTGCCATTTCTCAGGTTGCTGAATGTATTAATATTTAAAATTGATTGAGAATAATATAAGGTACCTACCAAATGATAAAACCAGTTTCAAACGGCGTGCATAAAATGGAGTTCAACTTGACTTTCATAAATTATGCTTTGTGGATGTGGTTTCCCATAAATTTGCCAAGCTCATTAACTCATTAGGTTATTCTGGTGTTTCTTTGACATACTAAACACTGCACAAAGTAGCATCTTGAATTAAATGGAGTTTAAGACTGATCTGGCTTGGTAATTGTTGTCTAAGTCAGTAAAAGGTACCGGTGAAATTGCTCCTTAGTGATGTTTTAGCTACTACTCCTGTCCAATGATTAGGTGGCAATTTCCTCATAGAAATGATCTGGTTTATGCTGTGTAAGTGTTGTGGAAAATGCAATGCAAAATAATTTCAGGGGAAAAAAAGTCTTAATTTTGTGGAAAATTATTTACAATGTTATATATATGACTCTACAAGTGTTATGGATATCTCAGTTAGAATGTTTGTATAAGTTTTAGCTACTATATTTTCAAAAAAATACTATGCTGATAGGTTTCTAGCCTTCTGTTAACCTCTGGGGGTTTGCAGACCGATCTCCATGAAAACAGGTATTTGCCACTTAAAGGAAAAAAAATATTACATTAAGTCTTTAAGATGTTTGGGTTTTTTCTCATTTTGTTTCTTTGACTTCACAATATGATCCATGGCAGTGATCTGAAAACTGTAAACTGCCTGGAACTGTGCAGCAGACACTTTCCTTGTTACCCATTTATCACTCTACTAAGATTTGTTTCTTTTATGCTAATAAAAAGCGTATTAATAAGAGTCATACCCTCTGTTTTGGGGAGATAGCAAAGGAAATCTCGTTTTCTCTTCCACTTGATTTCTGTGGTGCAGTTGGGTGTGATGTTGTAACTTTTTGTCATTGTTTGTTGTAATAGCAATTGTATCTTCTCCAGCCTCCCTTAGCATCCTTCTTTGCAGCAATTAGTTAATCAGTTGGTAAAACAGGACTAGAACTTCATTTTTTTTCTTCCAATAAACACCCTGCATCTCACCTCTGATTCTTCAATGGCTAAGGCTTTAATAATTGGGATCTCTTTTATTTTTTTATTTGTAGGATGATATTTGTAATTAGTGCAACTGTCACACAGTTTGTGAGGTTAAAAAGATTTCTAGGAATTATTGCTTCCCTGTGCTGGCTGGATCTCTGAATTCCTGTCAAGTATTGACAGTGATGGAGCAGCCCAGGGCAGATGTTCATTTGTTCCCATGAGTACTCACAATTTGCCATGTGTCTAGAAGATTTTCTCTGTAAGACTGATCAACTTATGAAGAATATTGATATTACTTCTAGCACTTGCCAAGAAGACAATGTAGTTATAGATTACCTCCAAATTATGATAGTGCAAACAGGGTAAGATGTGTCTTTTTGGAGCTCGTCTCATCTTGAAGAAATTGTGAGTCCATTCACGTGAGATTCTTGTTACCAGGTGCAGGAGGCAAAGAAGTGCTTTAAAAGTCCAGTGAGAGAAAAGGATCATTTTAATTTGGAAGAATAATTCACTGAACATAGGTTTGTTAGAACAGAAAAGAAATTGGAACAGTAATTTAGAATTAATAATGTCAATCCGTTCTAAAATGAGGAGGGAAAATAACCACTTTTGGTTAGTTAGATAGAAACTTGCCATAATTTATGGATACATGGAAGATATTGTGCTGTACCTTTGGTACCAGTGGTAAGACTCCTACATCCATTTTTAAACTTCACAAAAAAAGACATAAACCCTGTTCCTAAACCCTGTTCCTAAACCAATTGATGTCACTGTTTTGAGGAGGGGGAGACCAAGATCTGCTCACCATTTCCACTAAGAACACAGTTAGTTTTTGTTCAATGCTCACTGTTGTGCTAAAATTGTGGGCACTCCAGCAAAACAGAGGAAGAATGTTTTCCTGGGGAGAATTAATAGTTATTACAAATGCCTGCACAGGTGAAGGGTTGGGATTCTAGGGAAAACAAGGAAAAACTGTACTTTGTCCTGCGAAAGAAAACTCGAGTAAAAATGACACTAAATGTGGAGCACTCCCTGAATGCTACAAGGAGCACAGCTTAAAAAATAACTGTGGGGAAATGGCAAACTGAGACAGGCAAATCCATAAAAATATTTACTTTCTGTGCTGGAAAGAAGTGGAAATAATTTTGGACGCTTGCTAATCACTACATCTTCCAAAACACTTCTTTTTCATTAATTTCTGGAAACCATAGGAAAAGCAGGGAAGAAGTTTTAGCTGAAATGTAGTTTACATGGAGACTCTAGACTTACCAATACAAAGAAACATCACAAAGCTGATGAGTTGTCTTCAATGTGAGATCTGGTGATCAGTTAGAGAACAGGGTGTTTGGCTAATTACCAGAGACCATGAATTCTTAAAGATGTTTTATGTGAAGGGATTACATCTTTATTTTAGTTGTGGGTTTCAAAAGGGAGCTACATAAGCAGTCTGCAAATAATAATTTTATTTGCCTGTCAGTGGGATTCAGTGGGATTCTGGTTGAAACACCAAATTACATGAAGAAGCTAATTTAAATATTTGGATTAATCAAACAAAGAGGAATTCAAACAATTCTGAGACCTTGACATTATTTAATTCAAATCTTTTTTTATATAACTATGCTAATTAGTGTCCACATTAACAACAGGGAAATATTGCCAAGTTATATTTTTGCCTACCATTATTTCGTAAGGAAAATAATTGTTAATTCTCTTGCTCAGTTGGTGAATAACCATTTGTTGGCAGAGCATCATTGGTAAATTGGGTTTGTTTGACCCTGGCGTTCATTCTCCGTAAATAAGGCCATTAATGATTTTTTCTATAATTAATATTTCATAAGTAAAAAAGTCATTATGAAACATAAATTAATTGCTGTCTTCTCTTAACTGATTGTGTGACCACTGCCGATCAGACTCCAGGTCTGCTGTTATTGCTGAACCCAAGAAAACTCGCTCCTTTCTCCTGCAGAAAAGAGCCATTTAAAGCTGTCAAAGAATGAGTTGAGCACTTTTTATATCAGCAATTAAAAATGACTGCACCAATTATTTTTCTGTGCTGTTTATCAGTATTTGTTTCTATTAATGCAGTAAATGGCATAAAACTTCTTCACATTTAAAGGGGATGTTATTGACAGAAAACAGCTTTTTATTTTTGAACTAGATAAACTTCTATATAGATGCTTGTTATTATTATTATTTATTGATTTACAAATTTACATTAATGTCAACATTGTTTCTTTTCTTCTGACGTCCATATGTTTTCTCATTTATTTTGTTTTATCTTCGGTATTTATTAATGGATAAAAAAAAGCTTCATATATCAGTAAGTTATGAAGAAGAAATAAGCATGAAAATATTATATGAATTACTTGTATGCTATATAACAGAAGATTACAGCTTGAATATGAATTTTCAATCTTTACCTATTATGCACTTAGTGTTATAATTGATTGCTGGTATTACTTTTTATACTTCTGTTAAAAACAAAAACAAATCTGAAGAATCAGAAGGTTAAGCTGTGAACTCGTGTCTCAGGAATTCATAACTACATTGAAAGTGTGCTGTTAATATAGACAATACTTCATTACCAGCTCTATTAAATTCATTAAGATGCTTCTTCTCCAGTGTGGAAAGCAAAGTTTCATTGAATGGTGGATTTGATTTTGGAATTGCAGCAGGTACTTAGCTAACAATGCTTTTGTTTTGATAAAATGTTGCTTTTTTCACTCTTTCTCCCAATGAAACCATTTTACTAGATAAATGCTGATTCAGACAGCGGGTTATCATTTGAACCCACTCATACATTTTGATGTTATGAAAATACAGTTGCTGTTAACCATGGGGGAAAAAAAATCTTGTTAGCAAAGAGAATGCAAGCGAACTATTTTCTGTGCTGTGATCTCATTGGAGATCTGCCAAAAGTCCTTTGTTTCCAATGAATCAAGCTGACTGCTTCCATGTCCTTCCCTATCTTTACTAAATTAAGGTATTAAGTTCTCCTGTTAAAACCATAAAAGCTGTATAATTTCAACAGGGTTATTTTTGTTTGTTTTCAAATGTAAATGTCACCTTTGATAGCCACTGTAGATAAAATTGAAGAAATCTGGACATTGTATTATTTTTAAATGTAGTGCTGGATTATGTGAGGCTCCAGTAATTCCTTACGTGCTGTAGAATGGATTTTGGTTCTAGGCTTCTATTGTTCAATCTAATTAAAACTGTCTAATGTAATAAGCTGTACTATGTAATGGAATTGGTTTTTCCTTCCAAAGACTTTATCCAGACTGCAGTATTAGAAAAGTTGACTCCAGTTCTGTCTAAATATTCCTTTGCTTAATTTCATTTTATTGCTCCTAGTTATTTCTCTTCAAAAC